TGTAGCTTACATTCCCGTATTCCACTCTGGCTCTGTGGTAGCTAATGCTCATCAAGACGAGGGTCCACTGCCATTGGTAGGTGGATTGAACATTGAGTTCGGTTGAGATGCGTGTGAGCCCATGTTAAACATGTTTACGGCCTGCAACAGAAGAAACACAAATTTTCAGAAAGAAGATAAAATGGATCTCTTTCTGTGCTCTGATGAATCGAAGATATATTGGATTGGTTCGAGTACAATGAACTAACCTGGGAAGCATTTTGCATAGGGTGGAAACCCATGTAACTAGCAAATTGCTCTGCAAAATTGGGGTTTTGCAATTGATTCTGATAGTTGATAGGATTCAACATTGAATTCTGACACAATGCTGCTTGGTTCTGTGTGGAAGCCATAGTAGCTGCAGCATGATCAACCAAAGGAGGCCTCGGTAAATGCATATTAGGTAGCGCTGGCGGGACCATTCCCATTCCCATCCGTGACATGTAGTGTTGCATACCCGGGAACATCATTGATGCCATTCCGCTTCCCATCCACATCATCTGGAGGACATAATGAAGTAGCAGTTGGTTTTTACGGGAAAATAATTTACCAATTCACAAAGTTTCTGTAAGTAATCATAATTGTAACCTGAAGTTGCATTTGAAGGGACTTCAAGTATTCAATAGCCTCATCTAGCATTGATGCTTTATCTGTCTGAAAATGAAAGGATTTAAAACAGTGATGTCATAAACTTCCATATCATGCACTCAAAACAACTTGATCACCAACTGATACTCAATTTGCAGCAACTTTGGTTATTTAGCAGAATATGAAGTGAATAATAAGTTGAAAATGGGAAAAAGAGACCATACCTTATTGGAGTGAGGGAGAAGCTCTTGCAAGGCCCTCATCTTCTCATTGATTCTATCTCGTCGCCTCTGTATAAAAAGCGATACTCTTAATGAAATGATGGATATACTAAATTCTTTAAGATAATTATTCTGGGAGAGTGGGAGGTCCCCGAATCCTACCCTTTCAGAGAGGTTATGCACCTCAGCTGCACGACTCCTGCGAGTGGTTCCAGACTTTTGGGTTGACTTGTTTCCATTGCCAGATTCAAACTCAGCAGCCTACACAGTAAACTTTTGTCAGTGTTATCCTATGCAGTATGCACCACACAAATTGCCCTTTGGCATGCGAATATTCATCAGTGATGAGGAATTAAAGATAGCATACTTCTTCGCGCTGGGATTCTGATTCTTCTCCATCCCTGAGTTTTCTTTTTTGGCCGTGGCTAATGGTACCTGCGGATTGATTGCATGTTCTGGCAAAGCTGCTGCCTGATCTGCCAGACGATGATGTGCCCGCGGTCTCTTCTTCTGCTGTCTCAGTTTGAGGACTTACTTTCTCAACATAGCCCTTGTTCACTGCTGCTGATAAGCCCCTATCCCCATTCCCACTGCAAGAATTCCTGCTAAAAGCTGCATCAATGGCAACCTGATTGCTGCCACAGTGGCTTGATCCAACTGTCATTCCTGAACACTCTCTTATATCTCCATGCCCCTTTGCACCAAATTGTCCATTTGATGACCTAAGGTTCGCCTTGAGAGACGCCCCAAAACTGACGCCACCTTCAGGTAAGTTACAGTCGCGGCGCTGATGCAAAGAACTCAAGGTCTGAGTGCCAGGAGGTGGCATAGGATTCAGATTGACACCAGAATCAGATGAACCAAGCTTAATAATCTTACTGTCCTCCACTTGTCTGATCCCTCCTTTATCTGTGCCAACAGGATGATGAACTGATGGAATCTCAGACAAAAAAGGGGCACAGAACTCTTTCTCAAAAGAATCATCAACAGGACAATTAAGCCAAGAAGTTGTCTCATCATCTTGAATAAAACTGGGTGGATTCCCAAAGAGACTAACATCCCTTAAACTTGATTGATCATGTTTCTGAAGCTGCCTGCTTTCATTACCCTCAAACCCAGATTTCCTGTGTGTCTGGCTGTGCAACACAACCTGCCCATTCCTCCATAACAGCTCCACCAGGTCATGGTCCAATCTGTATTACACACACAAAAAATCATCGCATTTTCTCCCTGGATGACAATAACCAGTCCATTTCAAACATATTTCCAGAACCAAACCAATATGTTCACTAAAACATTGTTTTCTTTTTCTTTTTCTGCAAAGTAAAAAATCAGTTTAAGTACTAACCCCACAGGCTTCTTCTGGTTTGCAAGAGGGACTTCAGCCTCAATATTCCACTCAGGAAGGCAAGGATTCATAGCTGAAAAGTTTTCATTTCCAAGAAAATCCTCAGACACAATTCATAGAACAGTTAACAGGCAGAATGATCAAATACACAGAACATGAACACTATATGACACGAATGTTGCCCGTGCATACCTGAGAGAAACCCAAAAGAGGGGTATTGGCAAAATGATTTAAAAACCTTTTTTTTTTTTCTTCTTTTGCTGACAAACAAGCTATAAAAGGAAAGCAGGAAAGCAGAAAAGCACCCAAAAACGGAGCTTCAATTTGCCCAACAACAATTAAAAAATAAATAAAAACTATTCTGGGAAAACAAATTGAGGGGAAAAATATACTATGTGGTGTGTGTTTCGCCCATTAAAGAATCATCACTCAAACTTTCTCTCTCTAAAATTGGTGCAAAGGAAAGAGACAGGAGTAAACAGAGTGGGGCTGGACCGCAGCATTTTCCAGTTGCAGTAGTTAACGACAGAGAGGGATAAAGATATCAGCATTATCTTGACCTGACACGTGGCGAGCAGTTAGTGGTGTCAGCTGTCAAGATGTGGGCCCGCCTATCAAGATCCATCAAAATCTACACTCCCTCAGCTCCCGGTAAACTTTTCCCATTTTACGTGAATCTAAAACTCCCAACCCAATTGGCCACGTCTAGTCCGGTAAATCTTTTCTTTTAATTTTAATTTTTTTTAATCTCCCCATCGGTCACGTCCCGCGCGTGGCGATTGCAGTGTACAACACTACATGTACGGACTTCCTATAATCCTATATAAACCCGGCAATTTATATCCTACACCACGGCACGCGTTGCATTATGCGCCCAGATGCAAAACGACGTCGTTTTAATTTTTTTTTTTTTTTTTTAAAATTCCCGCCCCAGTGAATGGCAGTAGTTTTTTCTTTAAAAAAAAACCCGTTGTTCAAGAATGTACATAATGTTATACTAGAATACACATAATTGTATACATGAATGTACATAATTATATAACAAAATATACATACTCTTTTTAAAAGATAATACACATAATCTAACATAATAGATAATAAACATAAACTTTTAACATAATACACATCAACTATTAACATAATAAACACAAATTTTCTGATTCGGATGTACATAATTGTATAAAAAATGTACATAACTGTATGAATCAATACACATAACTGTATGAACAAATACACATAACTGTGTGAACAAATACACATAATCCCAGCAACTTCCTACCGCGCCTCCCAAAACGACGTCGTTTTGGGAGGCGCGCGGCGCACAGTGCTATGTGCGCCGTGGTGTAGGGTATAACGATTGATATAAACCTTTCTTCTCCCGACAGAATTTTTGGGACGATGACTGATTACTGATTAGGTAAATTTGACGTCTGTGCTTCAATAGATTGAGAAAGTATGTATGAGAATAGATATTACATTGTAATGGAGTCAGTAGGATTAAAAAAAAAAAAAGATAAATTTGCCGTCATTATTTCAAAGTATGTATCAGGTGAACTCTACTTTTGTGTAATAGCTCGCAAATTATGAGCTTGATTGAGAGAGTGTTGATAAAAATTAAACTTTGACTTTGATTCGTTCAGCCTTTCGAAGCAAATAAAATGAATTTTACTGTCATATCAGAAGGTCAGAAGAATTTTTAAATATCATTTTGGACTACTAGAAATAGACTAACAAATATGGGATTTGAATTTACATGCTTACAAAGTGTGAACCAAAACCCAAGTGGCAAATGAGTTCTCTTTGTGGGGTTTGATCCCCACAAGTGACGATTCCCTCTAGGCCAGCTTCAGCGCCTCTCGGAGCGAATCGGGTGGACCTGGACCGTTAAACAGACAGAGAAAGACCCGGACGGTCGGACCACATTGTGGTTTACATAAAAAAAAAAAAAAAAAAAAGTGTGAACCAAAAAAACCTCGAGTTTTTTTTTTTTTTTTTTTTTTTGAAAGGGCCTCAAGTTTTTTTAAAAAAGTAATGTATAATCTCTAAATTTATTTAAGAGTTAATTTCAGTAAAGATCCTTTGTTTTTTGTGTCAATTCTAAATTTAGTCTCATATTATTGTTTTTGTCATTTAACATCCCACACTATTTTTTTTTTTTTGACACTTTTAATCCTTTTCAAGACTTTTTCTATTTTTAGTAAGGACAATTTTGTCTTTTCATGTTTTTCTTTTGTTATTTTTTCGATTTCAGCCGATTTAATTGGTTTAGAACTTTAGGTAACCTCTGATTTTTAATAATCATATTTTTCAACCAGTTTTTAATAAAATTCTAAACCAATTAAACCGGTTAAAACATGAAAAATAACAAAAGAAAAATATGAATAGACAAAAATGCCTTTATTAAAAATATGAAAAGTCATGAGAATGACTGTGTTCAGAAACTAATAGTATGAGATGTTAAATGGCAAAAACGATAATTTGAGACTAAATTTAGAATTACCACCAAAATCAAGGAACCTCTGGTGAAATTTAACTCTTTATTTAATGAGAAAAATAACTTCTTATTACCCTAGTTCATTTTTCTTTTTTGAATGATAGATGAAAACTCACAACCGTATAAAAAATATCTTCTCATTATCCTAGTTCATATTTAAGAGGAAGCAACTAGGTTTATATGCTCTGGTCCATAGTTGAAAGGTGAAACTTTGTATATATGCCCTTTGGTTTCGTTTTTTAGTGATTGATTTGAGACTTGAGAGAGAGCACAATTAGCTTGAAGAATTGTTCCAAAAATATGGTCTTTCTTTTAAAAAGAGCCAATTATACCCTCCTTACTTCTGCCAAAAAAGTGAAATGTACAATTCTACCAAAGTACAAGATAGCGATATGTGATGCCATGGAACAACATAGAAGTTCCCTAAGCTTTACAAAAAAAAAATAAACTTTACAAAATATATTTAGATACATATTTTTTTGGATAACGGGAGAAGCCCACAGGCACTACCCGAAGGTATGAACGGGGTAAACCCCGCCTTGTGACTCGAACCCACAAATGACCATAAAGAGATAAACCAACCAGCTTAAGTTGCCCTAACTTAGAGTTTTTCAACAGGAAAACCTATAACAGGCTTGATATCTGATGCCAAAGATCGAAGCTCCTCGACTTCTTCCTTGGTCAATCTCCAGCCGAGCGCACCAGCAAACTCTGTAGCCTGCTCCGCGTTTTTGGCTCCTGGGATGGGCACGACGTTCTCCTGGGAGATCAACCAGTTGAGGACCACCTGCGAGATAAATCTTCTTCAAATAAGTGAGCACTTATTCATGAAAAAAAAAAAAAATGAATATCTGATATCTCTCGTCGTGTGAAAGCAGAGAATGGGATTAGTGGAGTCGAAGAGAAATCACGAAATGCAAGATTCTTTCGAGTCGTTTTTCGTTTTCAAGTTGATGGAATTTTCCTGGTCCTAAGTAATAGAGAGGGTTTCTTTATTGATCCAACATATGATAGTTCATCCCCCCCAAAAAATTGATTCCTAACAACTACAAGTCTACAATCAGTGCATTGCATTTTCAGAGAATATTTTTACTTTTCAATCCCGATCCTATCACAGAAACGAAAACCTATTTAGTTCAATTATTACTAACTGACATAAGTTTTCACAAGAAAACGATATATTCTAGCAAGTTACTTATTAAGAATATTGATCCATCTAAGTGACCACTGAGAAAAATATCCTAAGCTTGGAGCCTAATCTATTTGGGGAGGGGGGAGGGGGGCATGGTACCCCAAAAAAACGAAAGGTGAGCTAACATGAAGCTCAGAAATGAATGGTCTAAAGTGCACCTGTGTTGGAGTTCTGCTGTAGCTCTCTCCTATCCCCTTTATTCGGTTTATCAGCGGCTGCAACTGAAGTGCACGAAATACATTTGAGTTACTGAACAAAAAATGCTTAACGAGGTATTTCCCGTGTCAGAAACCTTACTTGGGTTAAAAATTCAGGAGTGTAAATCCGTCCCCGAGGACCAGTTGGAGGGTTTTCTGGAGTATACTTTCCGGTAAGAGCACCTGCATAAGAAAGCTCATCAGTCTGGTGTATATGAATCTCAAAGTTGGAGCCAAGCTATGATGAAAAAGAATATATTTTTGACTTATTTATCCAATAAGACATTAAGGTTTTTGGACCAACATCACATAATCACATATGTTCATTCAAGACCAATAAACATCTAACCCTAAAACATTTTTAAAATGAAAAAAGTTAGTAGTGCGTATCCTACTTGCTAAGCAGCTCCCAGTGGAAGTCAAACTGACAGTTGGAATTAAGCTATCTTAGACGGTAAAATGGCACACCTTTAACCTTTAAGCCCGTACCACACTCAGACTAATCCCCATTCACATCGGGCCAACCAATTAAGGGGCACCGGGCCGGCCCAATTAAAGGGCACAGTGCAAGCCATATTGGTTTTTCTATACGAGAAGGGATTCGAACTCCCGACCTCTCTTAAGGGATGAGAGTGCACAGCCACTCACGCCAACCAAGCTGGTTATGCCAAAATTTATTTGTTCATGCTGAACTATGTAGTCCCACAATGCCTGACTAATAACTGATCAATAGTCAAAGGCCTTGTGGTCGAGTGGCATAGCTGTGATCCCTCAAATGAGAGGTCTCAGGTTCGAATCACAGTGTGGGGGCATTGACTCTTTGTGCTTCAGTAGATCGAGAAAGTATGTATGAACAGATACTACATTGTAATAGAGTCAATAGTATTCAAAAAAAATAATAATAACTGATCAGTTAGAAATTAATATTCAAAGCTGTCAAATGGCTGCCACTATGCCAAAAGTACTAAGATTAAAGGTATATGGAACAAGCAAAGCAATAAAACTCGACAAATAATACCACACCGATTTTCATTTAAGATTGGGGAAGTCTTTAACGTTCAGCTAATCTGAAAAACTAAAGGACGAATGCATAAAAACTAATGGTTAGGTTTCATTTTAGTGTCATGTTTGTTCAAATAAATGAGTGGCAAACAGCTACCAAACTTGTGGGCACACAAGCAGAAGCTATGGAAGGCTAACCGGAGACATGAGAGATACATTATTGTCGAAAAGAATATGGCAGCTTCAGAAAGGTCATAAGCTCGTAACCAATATTGAAGCATAAGCCACTTCCTCAAGTCCCCCGTTCTTTTGGGCCTTTGGGGAAATAGGGTCGGGTCGTTTATTTTATGTGTCAGCTTATGTGTGACATGAGCATAATAATTCGAACTTCACCTTGAGCAATAGGCGAATATGCAATTAACGTGATCCCTAGTTCATCACAGGCGGCTTTTACCCCATTCTCCTCCGGCAACCTGTATATCAAACTATAATTTACTTGGTTCGAAGCTAGGGGGATCCCCCTCTTTTTAAGCTGCGTGTATGCATCTCGAAGACGCTTTTCTGAAATACAAACCGGGGGAAATTTGTTGGAGATAATATATTCCAAGGTTGAAAAAATCGCTAGGCGCCCTCCAGGCGCCTGGGGACCACCTAGGGCACCTAGAGCGCCTAGGCAGGCACCTAGAGCGCCTAGGCAGGCACCTAGGGCACCTAGAGTGCCTAGGAGGGCGCCTAGAGCGATTAATTGGCGCCTAGAGTACAAGGAGCATACCACTGTAGTTGGACACCCCAACAGCTTTCACGAGGCCCTGTTCCACCGCATCTCCTAAACCATCAATATAACCTGAAAAGAATCACGGGAGGAATTTTTTTTCTAAAATTTATTTATAAATTTGAGCACGAATTCTAGGAATTTCAACTTTTGAATGGCGTAAGGGGAGCCAGTTATGAAAATGACCTTCATTTCCCCATATCCCTGGCCTGAAAATCAAATTAAGCCGAGTAATCAATATACTGATTATTAGTTACAGGGAAGGTATTCATTCACAAGTCTAATAATGCAGCTTACCAGTGGAGCTGATAAAGTTCTACCGAAGAAAGTTCAAGGCGGGACAGGGAATCCTTGAGGGCTGCAAGGACGCTTTCCCGGCCAAGCCTCCATGGCAGTGCTGCAAACTTGGTTGCAACAGCAACCTCCACATCTGGAGTCCTCTCTTTTCTTTCCTTAATGAATCTTTTTGGGACGGGGGCAAAAAAAAAAACAATCTTAATAATAAAACCAGAGCATAAACAAATGGTACATTGAAAAAGGATGTGTTCAAGACAAAATATAGGAAACAAAAGGACTTATGGCTCACCTCCCTAGTAGAGTTTCAGAATTTATTGCCCCAAATGAGAACTGCAAGCATAAAAATTGTTTTTCTTTGGAAACCTTAATATTGTTTTAACTGAATTAGTGCAAAGGACTATGCAGAAAAGATTCATACCCTCGATCCATAAACCTCAGCAGTATCAATGAATGTTATTCCACAATCAATGCTAGCCTCAAAAGCACCTTTTGCAGCCTTCATTTTTCTATCTTTATGATAAAATTGGAAATACAAACAAATCATATTGATATCACATAAACTGAACACGTACAATAATCAAGTCATAAACATAACATAGGCAAAAGAAACATGACGAATCAAAAGTTAAAAAACAATCAAGTTCTCAGCACATTGTCTAGAGTATAACTTTTGTTAGCTGATAGTTGTTAGCTATTAGTTTATTGAGTTAATTAGAGGGTATAACTAGTTGATAACATTAGCTGTTTGTAGAAAGGTGTTTGGTAAATTAGCTGTTTGGTATAATTTCTTTTCTCAGAAAGCTAATTGAAAAAGTTGCATTGAGTAGCTTTTTTGAACTTTGGCATTTTGGAGTTACAAAAAACTAATTAACCAAACACTTATATTGATTTTTTAACCAAATCAAACAGCTAATAGTGGTCAAATAAGCCAAAATTGACCTATAGGCTAACTATTTTACCAAATAGAGCCATTATCGACTCTCTTATTCTCAGTTATTCCCTATGGCAGTCAGTCAAATATGTTCATTAACTATTTAGTGCGAGTGTATGACTACCTTATTAGTTAATCTTCCCGGCATTTGAAATGCTATTCACCACATAAGAACCCCAGAATTGCAATCACCAATGAGGTCACCACAGACACAATCAATTGAGCTTCCTTCTAACATAAATTTTTTCTTTTTCACAAAGCACATATTTTGGGAATGGCCACATAGTGGATGATACATTGACTCTTTCTCATCACACCTTCTTGTGCATGCATACCATTATAACATTAGATTATCTGTCATACAATTGTAGCTTGTTCTTAACTAGGAATATCCATGGATAAACTCTAAGCAATAACTACCCAGGGATAATTCTAGCCAAGTTTGTCCGTGCTTGGTAACTACAATTTTCCAAGTTTGACCCCCCCTAGGAGGGGCCCTTCTTGGTTTGAACTAGTCAGCTATGGGTAACATAGGTTGGTTTACCTCCTTTGGTCCTTTGCCAGCTAAGGTCACAAGATGGGCAACCTTCTCCCAAAAGGTTAAATCCCCAAATCTCAACCCGACAGAGCATTTGGGATGATGTAAATCACGATGACTCAATAGCTCAACAGACATTGCCAAATGGCGGTGTGCACAAGAGATCTGCCCACTTCGGGCATAATCCTCAGCCAAGGTTCGAATCTTGGTCTCTTCTCCTAAATACTACCTACTGAACCAATGAGCTAAACCCGTGCAGACACAAGATGGGCAACCTGATTTACCTCCTCGTAGTCCATTGCTAAGGTCACAATGTGAGGTTATCAGTACACATCATCTAATAGTGGCCATGTTTCCTAGTCACCCAAACCAGTGAAATCTGTTAGCTATAAACCTTAATTGCTTCTTTCCCATGTAAGAAACAACAGAAAATACATTACTAATATCCTAACCTTAAACCATTTAAACAACTTATGGTCCAAATTCCAAACGAATCTTCATAGTTTCACAAAATAGGATACTGGAAAGGCAAAAGTTCAAATTTTTTCTTCACAATACCGTAACTGCAACAACTCACCATCCCATTCAAAGTTGTTCCAGTAACTGGTGTCACCCCAAGACCAAGCCCCAATCCCAAGCTTCGTGACCTTCAACTCAGACCCACCAAGCTTCGCCTTCTCTTCTTCCCCAATTCTCACAGCAACGCTGCTTTCCGAAGCCATGGCTCTCACCGGAGCCACCTGGGATTTCCTCAGGCTTAATCCGGAGAAACACGCGCTACTGAAATATAGAGCCATTTCCACTCTAGTGTCTAGAAGAGCAGACAGAGCCACAACACAAAGTGGAGGTGTAATGGACTCCCTGTGGCGATGCTTTCTTTATGGAGAAAGTGGAAGTTTTTGGTATTTCTGTGTCGACATAATTTATCGGGTGAACATGGAAACTGGTTTTCCATTTTAAGGTGGAGGTGACGACAACCTACTCACTACTTCTAGCCGCAGGAATTATGTGCATCTCAATCGTCAGTATATTGGGACAATAAAAAATAAATAATGCCTTCTTCTCATATTGAAATTGAAATTGAAATAAAAATAATATGTATTTGAGATAAGAGACTAAGGTTCCAAATTCGGCGACGGCAGTGTGAGAATTATATTTAAAGTGGACAGATTTCTTGTGTGCACTGTTGTTTGGTCTTGTCTACTAAATCATTAAGTCACTGTAATTTACATCATCTCACATGCTCTGTCTGATCAGAATGTAGAGGACCCTTAAGGTTGGGAATTCAGCCAAGACAAGAAATAAAAATAATAATGTAAATAGTCCCTCAAATTATACGCAAAAACAATTATCATATTAAAAATTCAACTAAATATTTCAATTTATCAAATTGATACAATTAAATCAATTATCATACTATATTTAATTTACCAGTGAAAATGTACTGACATGACATCTCTATTGAAATAAATTAATTTAAAAATAAATAATACGAAAACAAATTTGATTTTCATACGGATAAACGGTCGGCTTCTTCGTCCAAATGATGGGGAGACGACAGACTAGCTTCTCCATTTTCTCCAATAACATTTTTATTAAACAAAATTATTATTAAAATTTGTCACATCAACACATTTTATTAGTTTCTATATTGGGTTTACTAACTAATTTACTTTTTTTTCTAACAACTAACTAATTTACTTAATTACAACAATTTGACAAATCACTAGTTTAATTATACCATTTTGATGAATTAAAAGTCTTCACTTATTTTATTTATTTTTAGTTTAATACCCTGTTTATTGTTTTGTCAATAGTTTGAGAGCTTGTGACCATTTGATCGAATAATATTATGAGGTGGGGAAGGCTGCAGAGTTGTTTTTTTTTTTTTAATCCAAATAAACAAAATCTTATGAGGTGACATCTGAATCATCAACAACATATTTTTCTTGGACCAAAATAAACAAAATCTTATGATATAACACTATGTTAACTTATAATGATTCAATTACACTATTAGGGTGTGTTTGAAAATTCGAAAAATGATTTTTAGAAATCATTTTTCGGGTTTTTGGTGTTTGGCTGTGCAAGGAAAATGGAAGTCAAAGGAAAAAAGGAAAATGGCACATAGTCAATGGAAAATGTGGCCTTTTTTTCCGGAAAATGACTTCCCTTTTTTGGGGGAAGTCATTTTCCATTCTTTGTTCTCTCATCTTTTGGCCAGAAAATTTCCGCTACTTCACCAACACCCATTGCGCATTGTTCTCTCCTCTTCGGATTTGGTTCTCTCCTCTTCGGATCTCTTCTTCCGATTTGTGATTGTACGTTTTTCGACGAGCAGAGGGTGTTCTCTACTACTCTCTGGTGTTTGACCGGACACCATAGAGAATCTCTCTCTGGTTTCTGGCTGGAAACCAGAGAACACAGTCGGAAACCAGAGAGCAGTACTCTTTGGTTTTCGGCGTTTCTCTTTTTTCTTTTTCTTTTTTTATTAACTTTTTAATAAATAATATTATTTGATTTCAAAAATAAATAAATGTTTTTATATTTTAAACAAAATAATTAATTATATAAACTGTTTAATTTTGTAATTCTACCTCATTTTACAGAAAATGAACCAAACACACAAAGACAGTTTTCTGCTGTGTAGCCAAACACGAGAAAGGAAAATATTTTCCGGAAAATAACTCATTTTCCAGAAGTCATTTTCCTGCTTTCCAAACGGACTCTTAGCTGAGAATTAATTGTGTTAACTATTCTGACTAGTTAATAATATTATAAAATTGTGTGAAAATGTTCAATAAATTAGATATTTACTATTGGCGGGGTAACACTTAAAATGATTTTGATAGGAATTATTTTTCGGGCATCGTGCCTATACGGTGGTCGGTTACGGACATTTGGTGCGAACTGAGCTCGACCATGACCACGACCACGGTTGACCTAACCTTATGTGTTAACTGGGCTTAACCGAATGGTAATCTCGTGAATAGCTTTACGACCTTTGACTCATTGACCTATTCAGGTCGGACCGACCTACATGTGCCTTGTGGCATAATGCGGTGCGCTCAGGAATATCAAGGCACGTGGCTAGAGCCCCTTGGGCTTCAGCCTGAACCGGTGCATGGTCTCCACGTGCCACGCATGTCGCTGGCCCGAGACCTGTCTCCTCGCGTCCCCTATAAACACCACATTTATTGCTCTCAAGATGGACTTTTAGTTATTTCTACACCTTAACTATTATCTCGAACACCTCTGACCCACAATCATGTATATCAAACTCTTCCAATCAAATCAACAAGATGCTTATGATTTGAACCCGGAATCGGATTAGGACTGTATATATTACTTCGTATATGAATATATTAATTCGTTTATTGAATTATCATTAAATTATTTGTAGTGGTATGTATAAAAATTTAAATAAGTTTTTAAATAATACTCACTCTACCATATTTTTCTTGTCTGGTTTACTATTAATCGGTCAAATCAATTCTTTATTCATTGCTTATTTTTTTAAATAATTTTTTATTATTTTAAATTTAATTTTTTTGTATTTAATAGTACTTTTAATATAGTTTCTAAATATATAAATTTCATATATTAATACTAAACTTAATATTATTAAAAATTAAATTATTATTCTTCAAAATTTCCTTTAAATTTAGGAGTGTATTAAGCGAGTGTTTGGTAAATGAATGACCAACTAATTTTTAAATGATTTGATCAATTTTGACGGATTTACCGAGTCAATCAACCAACTAAGTGTTTGGTAACCTTTGAAAATGTCACAGGATCAAACTCTGATGATGGGATATTAATTCTTGAAAAATTGTAAAACATATACTACCTTGTAATAAAGTTAATAGTATTAAAAAAACAATTCACTTAATCATTTATCAAATACTTTTAAAAATTTTACAATTTAATAATTTAATTACACTTTTAAAATAAATTGAGAGTTTAAATGACACTTGTAAAAATAACAACCCACATGATGCGTCAGTCGCTTTACGCTCAAGACTTGACCGAAGTGTGTAGAGTGGTTTGAGTCTGCTCTCTCGACAAATCTACGATGACTGCGAAACCAACACACAGGACGTCACACGTTCTTCCACGTGTCAATTTCGCCGCGTGTCTCCTTCCCATTCGTTGTAACCTTCTTAACTGTCCACGTATGCCCCGTGTATAAATACTCCTCAACATTTTATTCATCAGTTCTCCGACCTTCATCCCAGTTTAATCTCCGGTAACGGACTCGTTCATTTGCGGAGGAGTTCCGGCGACGGTGGACACAATGCTTTTCCGGATAGGGATATTTTTATCCCTGCTCTTGCTCAACTCAATTTGCTGTCATGCCGCTGTTTCCAGCATAGATCTGGGATCTGAATCCATGAAAGTCGCCGTGGTCAACCTGAAACCGGGGCAACCGCCAATCTCGATCGCCATCAATGAGATGTCGAAGCGCAAAAGCCCGTCGTTAGTCGCATTCCATTCCGGGGCGAGGCTAATCGGCGAGGAGGCGTCGGGCCTCCTCGCGCGCTATCCGGACAAGGTTTATTCCCATCTTCGAGAACTCATCGCTAAACCCTACGATCACGTCGTCAAATCCCTAGACTCCCTGTATTTAAAACACGACGTTTTTCCGGAGGAGACGAGGAATGTCGCGGCTTTCCGTACCGAGAACGGGAATTTCACGGCAGAGGAGCTGGTGGCGATGGTGTTGAAGTACGCGATTGGGCTCGCGGAGACGCACGTGCGGGGCGGTTCAGTGAAGGATGCAGTAATAACAGTGCCTCCATTCATGGGCGTCGCAGAGAGAAATGGGCTGCTTACTGCCGCCGAGCTCGCGGGGATCAATGTGCTTGCGCTCGTTAACGAGCATTCTGGAGCTGCGTTGCAATACGGGATTGACAAAGATTTCTCCAATGGATCAAGGCACGTGATCTTCTATGACATGGGGGCAGGTAGCACTTATGCTACTCTTGTGTATTTCTCTGCGTACGATGCCAAAGAATATGGGAGGACCGTGTCAGTTAACCAGTTTCAGGTAAAATGTTTCTATTCAAAGCTTTTAATTATAAAGCTCAAACATTTAAAATAGAATTTCCGGAAGTATGATCTTTTTTGGTTATAGTTTACTACTTGAAGATATCGGACTGTATAGATAAATCGGTTTTACTTTTTATTTATAGTGGTGATGTTCGTTCAGGGGATTATTCTGTAGTTGTATTATACTATGCTTTTGTTCTATTTGTATTATATGGTGCATCATAATTTGACAATAAATGATTTTGCAGGTAAAAGATGCTAGATGGGATGCTGAACTCGGTGGTGAACAGTTTGAATTAAGGTTGGTAGAGTACTTTGCAGATGAGTTCAACAAACAGCTTGGAAATAAGTTTGATGTGAGAAAGTCTCCTAAGGCAATGGCCAAATTGAAGAAACAGGTTAAGCGAACAAAAGAAATACTCAGTGCAAACACAGTTGCTCCAATCTCAGTTGAATCCTTCTATGATGATCGTGATTTTCGGTGAGTTCATTGATTGTAACAGAATTCTTTATAAATTTCCTTGCATTGCTTTGGGATTGTTTCTTTTGAAATAAAACTTAATGTTTACTTTGGAGAAGTTGGAGATCAAAAGTTTCATTTAGATACAAGATGCAAGGTGGCATATTAGGCAAACAAAGATGTACATGAATAGGTTGTTATTATAGAAGGTCTCAAATATTAAGCTTATATTATGTTGCTATATTGTGCTTTTTTTAAATCACTGCTATAACTAATTGCACACAGTGAGTCTTAGTTTATAAGAGTTATGTATATTTGCTGTGTACATGAAGAAAGTTCAATGTGTAATGGCAAAGCCATTCCAATCTCCCTCTGTCAGTCCATCCCATTTTTATGTCTTATTTTGACAGACCCTGGTGTATAAGAAAAAATTGAATAAAATATAATACGAGACTAGTTGGAAATATGTTTAAAAT